ACCATAGAACACAGCAACAACAACAACAACAACAACAACCAATATCTGCACACAATGTGCAGAAGTGTAGTATCAGTACAACCGACCCCATGTACTGAGTAAGTATCTTGTCTAACCTCGTCGAAGTAGTGACGAGGCTTTGGTTAAAAGATGCTCACTGATAAAACCTATAATATAAACTAACAATAGAACTATATTACAGTACAACAGAATAGAGCACACGAAACGAATATACAAAGCAATAACGGAGTACTAGAAGAAAACACAATTCAACAGGTATCAATATCTCACCCCAATCCTTTCCTTAGAGAGAAAGCCAATAAATCACAACAGTCACCTCAAAACTTTAATAATGTGAGAAATATATTCAAGACATCAAATCCAATGGCACGGCAACAGCCTTCATGCATTTATCTCATCCTCACCAATTATGCGTAAAACAGTACCAACTAAATGACAGAAATGTCGATAATAGAAATAATAGTGTAGGAAATACGCAATTAGTTATGGTGAACGAGAATGTACATGAGAACATCAGTAACAGACTGAACAAAAAAAATAGAGGTAATAATCAAATCACCTCCGGTTGACCTCAAATTTTGCACACAAGTCACATTTGACATTACGGACCTGATCCAACTTCCGAAATCAGATTCCTACCCCGATATCAAAAAGTCCACTTCCGGTCAAACTTCTCAAAAAACCTACAAATTTCTAACTTTTGCCAAACGACTCCAAAATGACCTACGGACCTCCAAATCCATTTTCGGACGCGCTCCCAATACCAAAATTACCATACTGAGCTATTCTCAGACTCGGAATCCCAAACAGACATCGATAACATTGAAATGCACTTCAGCCCAAATATGATGAATTTCTTCCAAAATGTTAACTTCCACAATAGGCGCCAAAATGCTCCCGGGTTATCCAAAACCCAATCCGAACATACGCCCAAGTCCGAAATTATCATACGAACCTGCTGGAACCTTCAAATCCCGATTCCAAGATCGTTTATCCAAAAATCTACCTTAGTCAATTCTTCCAACTTAGAGCTTGAATCTTGAAGTTCATCCTTCCAAATCGATTCCGGATAACTTGAAAACCAACACCGACGATTTACGCAAGTCATAACACATCATGTGGAGATGCTCGAGCTCTCAAAACTCCGAGCGAAGTGAAGATTCTCAAAACGACATGTCGGGTCATTACACCACTCCCTAGTCGCTTTTCCAACATAGGGTCTCCACTCCCTAGTTGATTTTATTTTAGACATAGGGTATTCATTCCCTAGTCTTCTTTCCAACATAGGGTATCCACTCCCTAGTTGATTTGATATTAAATGCAGGGTACACCACTCCGTGATATCTTTGCCAATATAGGGTATCCCATTCCCTGACCATATTTTCCCAACATGAGGTACACCAATCCTTAGTTGAGACATCCTTTTGACAATAAAGGAACACCATCCAAAAAAAAATAGCATGACTTTTTCGGCATACACCACTCCCAACCTTTTATTGCTTTCAATAAAGAAGTAGTTTAGAATTTTGTTACAATAACTCATGAAATTTTCTTAGTGCAAACTAGGGCAGAAAAATTCCGTTCGTTTGATTGTTTTGGTGTCTGAGTAGGTTTTACCTCGAGGCATAGGGTTCGAGATGACCAAAAGAAGAAGTCTCAATTCAGAATAAAAGAAAAGAAAAAATAAGTGAATCCAAAATGCAATAGCAGTTGAAAAGATGTGGAATGCTCAAGACATGACTGAAGCCACCAGCATTGGAGACCCGTTTTGATTAGAAGAATCTATAGAACAATGAACTAGAACCTATAGCTAGCGAGCATCAAGGTTTAGATCAGAGTCTGCATGAAGAACCAGTCAAGACTCAAGATCAAGTTTTAGAAGACTCATAGATAGGAATCTTGTAATTCATAACTGATAGACTTGTTTAGTTTCTTTTTTATTTTGATATAATAGCAGGACAGCGGACCGGAGCCTCGACGGAACCTCACCCAACTCCTCAACTCATCATTCCACCATTCTCCTTGAACTACATGCGACCTGATTCCCCTATAACACGGGATATGTAAGCTGTCCAAAACCGGGAATCGGTTGCACCCTATCTTTTATTTCTTTTCCTTTTGAATAATGGTTTGGTCAAAAATTAGTCACATGGCTCACCTAGTCTTGCGTGAAAACTCTTCATGTTTCCAAGCAAAGAGGGGCAGCTGTGAGCCCTAATTTTTGACTATATTTGAATTTTTATCACCTTCTACTATGTAAATATTTTCAGAAATTTAATATATATTTTTTAGCTTTGTTACACTTTTTTATATATAGGGTAAAAATTAATAATAATTTAAAAGGTCAATTATTACTATTAGTATTATTTTTATTTTTATTTTTATCTTTATTTTAAATTATAAATATATAATTAAAAAAGTAAAAGTAAAAGCAGGTAAAAATTGTTTAATAAAAAAGTAAAAGAATGTGAAAAATTAAAAAAAATAAAAGTAAAAGAATGTGAAAATTTAAATAATAAAAAGTAAAAGAAAGTTGGAATTAAAAAATAAAAGTAAAGGTAGCTAAAAATTTTAATAAAAAAGTAAAAGTAAGTGAAAATTAAAAAAAAAGTAAAATAAGTGGAAAATAAAAAAAAGTAAAAAAAGTGGAAATTTAAATATAATAAAAGTAAAAAAATAAAAAAATAAAAAATAAAAGTAAAGAAAAGTGGGAAATTATTTTATTTTTTAAAAAAAAGAAAAATGGAAAGTGGAATTCTTTTTAATTAAAAAATAAAAAAATAAAAATAAAAAAATCTGAAAAATTCCGAAAATTTTTCTATAAATAGGAAAGAAAGGAAAAAAGAAAGGGGACAGAAGGAGAAAAAAAGAGAGAGTAGGAAATTGAGAGAATTTTTTATTCTTCTACGCTAAGGAAATTTCTACTCGTGTCATTCTTTCTTCTTCTTTCTTTCGAAAAATCCAGCAATTCATCACCCCGTTTAACACTCCAAAATACCCCAAAATCCAGCTTCAAAGCACCCAAAATCAGCCCCAAAAAACACTGTCAAAAGCCAACGCCGAAGTGAAGTCGCGTTAGAGTTCCGTTGTTTGATGTCCTGGTTAAGCGCTGGTTTTAGATTTTTGCTGTTTTGGAGCTTCTCTTTCACTGTACCTGCTGGAAATTTTAGCAATAAAGGTCTGTCCTCTCTTTAAACTTCTCTTTGAATTTATCATGTTGGATGTTTATTTGTTAGAATAGAGTCTGCTAGATTACATTGATATAAATGCTCATAAGTTTGATTATTTGCATAATATATCTGATTAGTTGTTTGAGGTTTATTAAGTAGTATTTTGTCTTAGTTTAGTTTGGTTAGTTTATAATTAATTACTAAGTGTGTCATATAATTTGTTTGCAAATTAATTTTAGGCATCATTAGTTAGTAATGTTAAATGACCCACGTTTTGGGCCAAGGCAAGAAGAATTAATTAAATTGTTGGCATGTTCCCAATAAACATATAAGCTAGCTCTCCTTTATAAATTAATATAACTTCAAATGACTTCCATAATACCTACGACATTCACAATAACCTCTAGAATTCAATAGCTTCACAAATAATCTCAAACTAGTTTAGGAAAATAACTTACGAATATTCGTAGTTTGCTTTAGGCGTGTTTAAATAAATCATCGTGACTATGGGTACGGTTCTCGTGGCATAGTCATGATACATAACCCCAATTCGAGTGCGCGTTTCACGCGACTCGACCACAACTTGAAATAATAATTAAAATAAACATGTTGTGAATCACAGGTGCATTTCACGTGGCGTGATTTGTGATGTGTACAAAAATAACAAGTGTGCGACACCGTGACTTGTTTAAATAAACTCCATAATTGTTTAAAATAATTAAAAGCGGTATAAAAGCGTTAATGCACAATAGGTTTAAAACATGTAATAAATCATATAATTAGGCCAAGTATTAATTGTTAAGCGACCGTGCTAAAATCACGAAACTCGGGAGTGCCTCACACCTTCTCCCGGGTTAACAGAGTTTCTTACCCGGTCTTCTGTGTTCGCGGACCATAAATAGAGTCAATTTTCCTTGATTTCGGATTTTAAAACAAACCGGTGACTTGGGACACCATAAATTATTCCAATTGACGACTCTGAATTAAATAAATAATCTCATTTCGATTAATGGCACTTTAATTGGAAAAGCTCCCTATCCCTCGGGAAAAGGGAGGTGTGACAGTAAGCGGGAACAAGAAGAAATTTTAATCTGATGGGATCAATTCAATAAAAGAAGGGGAAAAAAAGCAATTCGAGTTAGTCTTGAAACAATTAATTGTATTTTCTCCTAGACTTCCTAGGTAAATTTATTTTATTATTCAACAAGGAGCCACCAGATACTATGCATCTATTGCATGTACTTATACATTTCTACTTTTGTTTATAATATATGTACATATAAATATTTTACCTACATAGTAAGTAATTCTAGAATTAAATAAAAAGGCATTTTTAACTCAGCGGTAGAGTTAAAACTAATAAATTTCATAAAGAATCAAAATATATATGATTCTGACTATTCAATACAGCAGACATATGTTTTGAACTGTAATAAGTAGGCGTTTGGACATAAAATTTGGAGTTAAGTTGAAAAATGGTATTTGAAATTATGTTTGGATATGCATTTCACTAGAAAAAATGTTGCAGTTTTGTGAGTAGGGAAAAAAGTTTTCTGAAAATTTGAATATCTCATTTTCGAAAAATTTTCAAAAACTTGCAAAATTTCATGGACAAACACATTTTTGAAAAAAAAAACCTCATGAACAAACGGGTCCTAAGTCGCGCTTTATATTATATATCTTTGACTTCTTATCCAATATATCCTAGAAGCTGTCAAGCTGCTATGTCAATTAATAATATATGTCCCACCATCTTCACATATATGGTAGAAATTAGAACACACATGCATATAGCTTTCCACAAAAACGTTGGAAATTAATGCATCATCCATATTATTCCCAAGTACATATCTGTAGCTACAATTGTAGTAGTATAAGTTAATCCAATAAAACAAATTTAAAAAAAAGGAATAGAAGAGTATGTAGGCGTTGATTTGTATCTCAACTCTATGTTAAACCAATAATTTTTTTGCACTATATGGTTACACAAACTGAGTTCTGTTTGTAATGGGAATATCAAGATTAAGAGATAGTCCACCAACATTTGTTTCTGAAGAACTTGAGGAATTGCCTTTCTTAGACCAAAGCCAAATCTTTGAAACAGAGAAGCTCTCTCCTTTAGTCCTAGCACTGATCTTTTTTCCTTCTGTAGTAGCCCCAAAATTGTTGTTCTCACACTTCGCTTTGAGAATCTTCACATTGGGCAAAGCTATCTGCAATTCTGAATCATCAACCACATATTGAAATGAACCCATTGAAAAACATCTCCTTGCATTCAAATTGCTGCTACTAATTTCCCCTTGACTTTTGTCTTCATAATTTTCATTCCCTTCATTTACACTTTTGTACTTACCTAATCTAACTGAGAAAACTCTCATTTCTCCAACATTTTCTTGCATGAGTACTCCTGACTTTTGACTGTTTCTAATTCCATCTTCCAAATGGAAATTCCACTGTTCTCTTGACTCATAATTAGAGCTAAACAAGGGGTTTCCAATAGAAATTCCAGAAGTAATTACACCTCTACATAAAGGACAAGTTGAGTTTGATAGGAGCCATGTGTCTATACAATGGATGTGAAAAGCATGGCTACACAAAGGGAGCAATCTGAGTTTGTCATGTTCTGAAAATTCACATAAACAAACAGCACAATCAAATGGCTCCTTCAACCCCATAATATCCTTATACAAAAACACAGGCAAAGTGTCAATGATAGATTGGTCTAAACCAGAATCATGTTGCCGAAAGAGCTGTTGAAGCTGCCTTTGGAGAACTTGGGAACTAGTTGATTCTGGGAATCTATTGGACTGAGAAATTGATGAAAAAGAAGGCATCTTTAAACAATACCTAATCAGAAGATGAAGAAGACCAAAGACGAAGAATAAAACAGCAATAACTACTATTACCAACAGGAAAATTGGGCTGATTCTACTCATGGGTGACAATTTTGTTTTTAAAATTTGCTAGTAAATCTTTCAGAATCCTGACTTCTAACTCTGGTAAGTGAAAAGTGGAGAGGAAGTAGAGCACAAAAGCTTAAAAAGTTTTCAAAATAACATCATTATACTACTACTGACATGCCATTTTCAGAACATCCAAGAAACTTGCTTTATTTGAATAGAAGAATATGTAAAATGAAAACTGCCTTTAAGAGGACTAGAGGTAAAGAGAGTATGAAATAGACAAAAAATGTCCAGAATTAACCAAAAATAGAGGCAGCAAACAAAGATTAACAGAAGGAATAAAAATCTAGAAGTAGCAGTTGACCTACCTCTACCCTGCAGAAGAGAACAATACAGTGTATGGATGGACTTATGTATGTTGGATTTGATAGGTAAAAGATATGGCTATAGAAATATCACCAAAATAAGTGATTTGCTCCCTATTGATAAGTTGCTTGTCAACACTGTGCTTAGATGTGGGCAAAACAGAACAAGAAAAAAGGAAAAGCAAAGTTACTAAAGAAGGGTAGGTTAGGTTTCTATGAGAAAGACAAGGCCTGATGACAATGCTTCCCAGATTATGAATTCAGTTTATGACATAAACTGACTTTTTCAAGGATTGCCACATGTGTCTTTGTCACTGACTGCTGTCCTTTTTGTGTATTTTTAGATGCAATTATCTTATTCCCTGGACAACATTGTCCTCTGTGGCTTAATTGAAACAGCACATAATACTTAGTTCATTTATATCACTTTCTTTGCGTTTTTTAAGGAACTAATTAATGTTTCTACTACTTTTATTTTATACTATTTGAAGTTGCATTCATCACGCAGCCTTGGAACAAAAACTAGCTTTCTAATTAACAACTAGGGTAGTCAAATGTGACAAATCATTGCACTTAATGATTATGAAATCTCCAATTCACATTGCTTTTTCCATCTTCTAGTTTGATAAATATTAGTCAGCCCCACAAAGAATACATGGCATAATTAATTGGTCCACCACTTTGCTTGTGTTCATGTATTATTCCAGTGATGCACATTATTTTCTTCTCCATTGCCTTCTTGTCAAGGCAGTTTTATACTCATCCTGGTAGGTCTACTTACCATATAAACTTTGGCCTTAATTATGCATTTTGGCATCCCTTCTCAATGATGGTCCCGTGATAGAGGGATCCAAAAAAGAAAAAGGTCAGAAAAGATAGGTTGGTAATTGGTAAAGATTCCTTCATTTTAGACTCAATTTCTCCTTTTCTTTTCTTCTCAATAGATAATAATCTTTTTTGTTTAATTTTCTGGTATTCGAAATTGACTAACCGACTAATTTGGATTTGTATCGAGTGAACTTATACATTACTATAATCATCCTTAACCTGAATTGACTCTTTGGAACTATATATGATGACAAAGAAGCGCATGGTATGGACAAGAAATTATACAGTGAGGTGTTTATTTTTTGGTGGTTCCCGCACGCTTTGCCATCTTTGTTAAGCAACAAAATCATTGAAGAAGTTGATTTTAATTTTAACTAATAATGTTGGGCAAGTGGTACTTAATCAAAAGTGATGTTTATTACAGCCCGACCGACAAAGTAGTTGGAAAACTTTATCTGCTTCTTCATTTCGTTCTACTTGCCCAATAGAAAAATCTAGTGATGTTTCTTGGTCAAGATGGATGATCGTTCAAGAACCATTTTAAGGTCTAGTTAGGTAAAATTGAGTTTTACTGGAAATATTCTAAGATCATTAGGTTATCTAGAACTAGAAGAAGCAGTTCACTAAATACTGTGACTTATGAGCTGAGTAGTTGTGGAAATATTTACTCACAATCTAGCTAGATTCTGTGTATAGTTAGTGATTCACATTTAACACATAAATATAACTTGTACCTTTACAGAAGACCTGTTAAAAGCCTTTTTTCTTTGGGGAAAGNGATCGAACTAGCTAGCTTTCTGCATTTCAAGAATGGATACACACACCTCCTAGGGAGACCTGTTAAAGATTATAGTATGTAAATATCTAGTGTTGTTGGAGTTTGATTTTGGAAGTGACGTGCTATAGAAAGCCACAAGTTTTTCAAGCTTTGAAAAGACATAAACTCCATGAATTGAAGTTCTTCTAGAATTTGATAAATCTTCATTTAAAATGCATTCTACAACAAATGATGAGAGTTTCCGATGCTAATAACCTCCAATTTCATTTTGGATTAAGAAACTATAATTGACAATTGTGTAAAATAATCAGTTTTATTGAAGTGATAGTTAGTCATTAGCTGTCACCGTGATTTTTTTAAAATTAAATTACTTTAAACACCCTTATAATATGACACTTGTGGTTGTGGATCAATCCTTTGTATTTTTAAAATTAAGTATTTAAACCCTTGATATAATATAAGCCCATAGTCCATCCTGACGACTCTTGAGGCAAAAGAGACTATACTACTTTCAAAATTAGACACCTAACACCTATATCCTTACTAAAAGAGACACCTAAAACCTATATGATTAGCCATATATTTGTGTACAGTTAAAGGAAACGGCAAAAGAAGAGGAGAATGTAAACCAATATAGTACTGCAAGTCCATAAACCATTCTGATTACAGTTAAGGCAAACGACAGTATGCTTCTATTGGACAAAGACATTCCACATTAAACTCATTGACCCAATCATTTATCAACTCAACAAATCGTCTCCTGTCACCCTGATTAAACACAAAAAATCAAAAGAATCTTTGTTCTTAACAATATACCAGTCCATGTGAATATTAATCAGACCTCACTGCTGAATATGGACAAGGATTTCTCATCGTCTTCCTTAACAGAATTGATGATTAAAGCAACTTCCTTCATGTTTGGCCTTGAATCTGGTGATGGATTTATGCATTTGATAGCTACTTGCAACAGATTGATCATTCCTTCTTCATTTGCAGCATCTGCAATGAGCGCCTTGTCGAAAACTTCACCACTCCATTCCTCTCTAACCACTGAATTTACCCACCTAGCCAAATCATTTCCACTAGCCTGAACAGGCTTACCTGTGAGCAATTCAAGAAGAATCACTCCAAAACTATAAACATCCATCTTGAAAGCGTTACGTGCACTAATTGTGACCGAATCATCTTCTCTGATGTTGTTATCACTTTGAGCAACAAATGACTGGTGTTCATTGTTGACCATTAGACCATACTCGCTGATACAGGCTTCCATGTTTTCGTTCAGCAAAATGTTGGTGGATTTCAAGTTTCCATGAGGAATATCATCATTCTGAAGGCCTTCATGCATGAAAGCTAAGGCCTTAGCTACAGTGGCTGCAATTCCTAATCTGCTTGCCCAGTCGAAAATTTGGTTGCCCTGAGATGCTGAAATGGACAGTTATGCAGTAACTTTACCATTCCATATTCATTTTCTATGTATGATGTACAAACTTGTTACCACATTATTTTTTATATAGGAAAAAAGCTGATGCGCTGACATTATTGTATGATCTAGGTTCAGAATTTAGATTCCAATGTAAACATGACCATATCTCACGACTTAAACAAATAATTAGCGCTTGTTTGGCTTTTTGGTTGAAAGTATTAGATAAGCATGGAGTGCTGAAACTAATTTTTATAAATAAATAATTATGTATCTGGATAAAAGTCCTAACACTGATAATAAACAGATAGATATATTTGGTAAGAAGTATTAATATGCATTTTTGTTTAAATGACTAAAATGCAGTTAAGCTGTATATAAAATAAAAAGTATATTTACAAGTAGAAGGACATATAACGGAGAAGGAACGGAGAGGGAGTTAAGGGTTTTGTTTTTGGAAGGGTATTTAGCGGATTACAAAAGATAAAAAGTAACAACTTTGATCAAACCAAAAGTATTTATAATTAAGCTGAAATGTTGTAAGTTTTTTTTTCTGTATGGCATTTCAATGATTTTGGCTTATAAGCATTTTGTTATTTATCAAATTGTGGTTGACTTGAGATTTTGACTTAGCTGGACCCTGAATCTGGAGAGTGAACTATAGTTCTACATTTAACATATTCCTTTACTGTAACCAATTCCAGATATGTCTTGTAGGATGGCCTATTACTCTTGTTGGGCTTTGATTTGAGTCCAAGTGAGAATTGATTTATTAGAAGGGAAAAGAAGTTTGGCACAAATAATAAACTTACAATGGAGATGCTTGAAGAGACTGCCATTCTGCTGGTACTTGTAAACTGTTAGCTTCTCTTGCTTGGAACTGTAGAAGGCAATAAGGGGTAACATATGAGGATGCTTCATTTGATGTATTCTATGCATCCTCTTCTTGAAATCATCTTTTGAAATATTCCATCCCCTTATCCTCTTTACTACCAATGTTACTCCTCCATCAGCTTCTACCTTGTAAACACTTCCATGTCTTCCTTTCCCGATCAGTTCAGCAGGAGCTCGAAGCAAATCCTCGAATCTCAATTTGTTAGCCATAGGACTTGAAAGGATTTCAAAAGATGCTGAGAACATTGAGTTTTCTGGAGATGTTATTGAATATTCTGACCTGTTTCCAGGAGCCTTTGACTCACCAGAGCTAGTGTTCTTGTTCTGATCCTTTAGAGCAGTACTCTTGCTCTTTTTCCTCCTAATGCACTTAAAAAGCTTTAATGCAAGTAGAAATATTATAATCAGTCCAAGAATAGCATAGCCAAGATAGATAAGGTATGATAATTTTTTCTTCTTAGCAACTGAAGGAGGAGGTGGCGATGGCTATGGTGGACATGTGTTTGACAATGGCACTCCACATAATCCAGGATTACCCAAAAAACTGTTGGAATCAAAATGGTCCTTGACATCAGGAACTGGACCAGTTAAATTATTGTAGGAGACATTGAAATCTACAAGATTGGAAAAATCAAATTTTGGTATTTGCCCTGTTAGCTGGTTTCTTTCTGCCAAAAAAGTTAGCAACCCTGATATTCTTGACATATCAGGTAGCTGCCCTGAGAAGGCATTGTCTGAAACAACAAACCTTTTCAAATTATTTAATCGCGAAAGAGAGCTTGGTAAATTGCTTGTTAATTTGTTCCTACGCAGATACAAGTGTGTGAGACGCCTGCAGTTTGATATTTCTTGTGTTAAAATGCCAATAATTTTGTTCTCATTCAAGCTTAGTACAGCAAGGGAAGTAGCCTCACAGACAGAAGCAGCATCAAGAATTCCAGTGAGATTCTTCTGATCAAGAACGATATGTTGCACATGTTGCATACCTGAATCACAAGTTATCCCCTCCCATTTGTTGGTACAGGGATCAGATGATAAATTCCATCCAAAGTTTACATCTTTTGAGATGTTTCCAAGAGAAATCTCGTTCATGAACTTGACCAATGCTTGCCTCACTTCGAAAGTCTCTGAATTTGCCAGTACTAGCAACACGTGAAAGAATATGCTCAAGATTACCCATCTTGTAACTGGAATCATTTCTGGTGGAAGGGACTAAAGAAGGTGAAATCTCTTTTAGCATCTACTTCTTCAATATGTAGAGAATTAGAGATGAAATGATGGGTAATTAGCATTTTTGCTAAAAAAGTATGAATAAGGTAGCTAAAGCTAAAAAGGCCGGTTGGCTGATTCTGCAAAGACATGGTCAATATAGAGCAGACTCAATCATAACAAAAAAAAAACAGATGATCTAACAAGAATTGACGACAGAAGGAGAAAGTGTTAAAAATATAGAAGGCCGGCAAAATCTATCAAAGATTTGCATGGTTCCTCCTTGTAAGTTTGCTTCTGAGTAGATGCATTACTATAGAGATTAAGAATGATCCAAGTGGTCCTTTTCTTATGCATCACTCTGACCAACATTCTAAAAGGTTCAAAGCGCTTCACGATAACAAAGTTATTTTCAATGACTTTTCCCACCTACTATATACCACTTGTATCAATAGAAGAATACATAGAACACTACAACGTTACAAAAATAAGACTGTTTACTTAGTTACTTTTCTGTATTATATGTACATGTGCATCCCTCAGCTAAAACGTGCAGGAAATTTTGTTCCTCTCTTCTTCCCACTATCTCATTGAATGCTTAATGATTGCTCCAAAGAGGAAGCAACAAATAACTTACTCTCAGGGAAAATGAGTGTAAAAGAAAATGAGAACCAAATCGATGAATGCTAATTAAGAGTCCGGAACACTTGTGAAGTCAGCTCCAGGCGTTACATCATCTGAATCTTTCATACGGTTCAATAATCCAGATAATGGTTTCTACTGTTCAAAACTTCAAATAATCAAAAGCTTACCCCACAATAGTCACACGAGAATGCAAATAACAATAGTATAAAGAATTAATCATTATGAGAATGCTTATTTTAAGTTTTAAAGGTTGAAATTCAGAATAAAGTGGCTGCTATGACTGAATGTTCATCAGAAATTCGAGAGCTAGTCGGTGGAAAGAGATCAGCAAAATAGATCTCATTGGGTCCAAATGATCAAACCCTTTAACAAAGTTTGAGGCAAGATCAAAGCTCTGATTCTATAAAATCTCAAATAAAAGTACTTATAAAGATTTTAAAAAGGTATTAAAGAGAAACTGTATCAACAACCCATTTGGCTTTGTTCCTCAAGACATTCATAATTGTCGTCATGGGTGAACCCCACACCATGTCTCTCTTCAATCTGGTGAAAAATGGGGGTGACAAACAATTTGTCGGACACGTGGCATTCAAATAGGATCTCATATACAAGTTTTTTACCTTTCACGTGCTTGACTTTGTTGTTCTCTAAGCTTGATAGCCGTTTTAGGGGGTAATAATTCCACTTTTTACAAATTAAAGTGTGTAAGTACCTGCAAAGAAAATCCGTGTAAAAAGGATTTCTCGTGCAAGTTTAGGGTAAATTAAAGTATATATAAATTAATCCTATTTAAATGAACAACCAATCAGTGGCTGTGTATCTAACAAATTTCCACATATGTTCAATATCTCTTGTTTCCTGTATGCATGTTTCAGATTCAGGCTCTCAATCATATGCTTTCTGCGCTTTTAAATCGTCCTTCTACACTCAGTATGTAAGTTGTTTTAAACATGTAACCACTTTCTCGTGTGACTAGTGAAGTTGTTTAATAACTGATTTAATTACAGCTGAACCATTTGAAAGAAGCAATGGTTTTAAAGATAGTAGATATTTTCTTTGTTCTTCAGTACTTGATGTGGATTTTTGTACTTTATGTGATACTATAAAACTGATCAGAAGGATGCTTTGATCTGCATTGGTTATTTGGGAAGCGAAGGTAGCATATCAAATTATTCACAGATAAAGGCAAAGTGACTAAGCCAGGTGGTGTTAATTTGTACAATATTTTCTTGATTTTGTTGTTTCTTTTCTTTCTGTTGACTGAAATCTAGATGCATACAGTAATACAATCATTGGAGGTTCCTTTAGTATATTTGATCAAAATTGCACAAATAATTTATAGATCTTCCTTCAAATCTGTGAATTCCAGCGTGATACAAAATCCAGTACTTCTAGTTAAAGTGAACGAAAATCAATGGAGATCGTAAAAAGCCTAGTATATGGAGGTTTAATAGAGTCAATTACAAGCTTAGTTGTGATTTTCTCCGCAGCTGCTTCCGACGCTGATACACGTAAGTCTTTGAGAACTTTGTGTTTAATTCTTCAATCTCTGCTCGTTTGGTTGGTTAGTCTAATGGTAATCTTGGAGATATTTCTGTGAGAGATATAAAATATCAAAAGGATTATCTTTTGACTTTAATAATTAGAAGCATTATCCTAGATCAAGGGTATTAAATTTTAGCTCTCCTAAAATCTTGACAGAATATGATATGGCTTATAGAGTTTTGTTGATACTGCAGTGAAGATCCTAACTATTGGAGTGGCAAATTGGATAGGTGGAGTTTTTATCATTTGTCAGAATGTGAGTATTCCTCAATTCTAGTTCAACTCTACAGTTGGTAACTGTCTTTTGCCATCCTTTCTCCTTCTGCATCAGTTCTTGCATCTTAATCCTTTTCTTGAATCACATGTAAGCTTGCAGTTGATGGACTTGAAAATTAATTTTACCGGAGTAGGTTCCAATTTAAGTAATCAAAGCGATCAATACCAAGAGCTACTTGGCCAAAAAGAGCATTTCCTACTTCATGCAACTGTTGCCCTGATATCATATTTTACCTTTGGCCTTGTTCCACCAGTAGTATATGGCTTCACATATCTTAAGAGTGATAACAAAGACTGCAAGCTTATAGCAGTTGCAATCGCTTCTTCTCTGTGCATTATCATGCTTGCTACTGCAAAGGCTTATACTCGAGGAGCAAACAAGTTCAGTAAATACGTCAAGACTGTCCTATTCTATGGTATAGCTGCAAGTATGGCCTCAGGTGTTGGTTATGTAGCAGGCCATTTCGTTAAGAGGCTCATGGATAAATTAGGTTGGTTTGAGAAAATCCAACCTGGTCATTCTATTGACATCTTTTGCAGTGATACCTACCTATTGTAAAATCTTCTTATGTTCGCACCCATGTTTTGTAAGTTTTGAGAACCTATAAGAATGAGTGTGTTTTCTTGTAAATTTCAACTGAGAAATGAGCTTTTTCTGCACCAAAACTCTTTAGTCCCTGCAGTGTGATGTTACGATGATAGTTGTAGCCCTGTTTCTGTGAATCATACATATATTGGCCTAAAGAAACCTCAACTTTTCTTGCTTTTATAAGCGAGGATGAGTCGTTCTTATTGACATTTACGTAGTTTTGTTGTCTGTAAATCCTGTAGGCCTCACCTCACTGAGAGCTTAAAGTGTGCAGCTCCACCAAACCTCTTATGTCCACAACCTAAGATAAGAAAGTACTCACCCTAATACCCAATCCAGATAAATTAATATGGAACCACAATGAATATGTCTTTTCATTCAATGTTTTCAACAGATAAATTACTGTGCAGGTTCTTTTACAGAGAGATTATTGCATGGTTCATAACTACTATCTAAGTTTTCCAAGAATTGATGAGTCATTAACATGGAACCTCTTATTATTGCACAAAAGGAATGGTATCACAAACTTCTGCTATCTCTACCTGTGTTTTTCCTTTCTTTGTTCTCTTTTTTGTCCTTTTTTTTTCTTTCTCCCTCTTTTTGTAGTTCTTCTCTAGACTCTTGAATCATGAAATTGAATCAATAGGATTCTAATCTCAGGAGAGATAGCAATAATTGGCTTTTGAATTAATATATAGGTAGCTCGATCTGCAGGACACTTGCATGAAAAAATGGACTTAACAAGTACTATGCACCAATACATAGAGAGTAAAATAAGGATATTTAGTTAATATTTTGAAGTATTCAATCACAGTTAATATAACTGTCAATCCATGAGTAGGGTTGAGAATCCCAAATTCTAAGAAAACTTGCAAGAGAGCTGTATTATCAGTATAAGGAAACAGAGAAGTTTTAAATAATTCAAACATTCATTTTGAGGGGGGAAAACTTTGTAACATGTCAAAGTACGAAGGTACATTATAAATTTCAATTGAACACAAAAGTGATTTTATGTCGTAATGCTATGTGTTTTCTGATGAAATTACCATAATGAGATTCTTACAAATAAAAAACTACTACTAATTAAACCTCGAAAGCAAAATAGGCTATAATTTAAGATGTTCGCGCTCGCGGTTGATCAGATGCTTAGCTAGCATGATGATTATCTGGTGATGAAGAGAAAATTAAAAGAGATTGCAAAACATGAATTTGCAGCTTTAATTGCATAATGTAATTAGCAGTTTGAAGAAGCAGTTGATGAGAAGGTAGTTGTCTAGCGCCTGGGATTAGCCTTTGCAGCTTCACCACCTTGTCTTGCTGCTGTTGAAGATCATCATTTAAAACACAGCTCATTCTTGATCTTCTCCTCCCCCTAATTTTCATTGTTTTCTTTGTTGATTTCATGAGTACCCTTTCTACGCCTAGCCTTTTTCTGTAACCCATAATTTCTAGCTTGCTTTTGGTTCATACAAACTCAAAGGAACAGCTAGTGTATATATAGACACAAAAGTATTAATACAGAGTTGGCACAACATGTGTTTAATCTATGGCGCATGTAAACTCATGCATGTGAATATGTGATGGCTTTGGTGTGACACACAGGTCGACTCATATGCCTGGCCTACTTTAACAGCAACGTACTTAGCAACATAGTTTCATCTGTGGTTCTGTTTTCTTTTTACATATCTCATTGAGTTTAAGTTTGTATGGCCAACAGTGGGTCAATATAAAAAATTTTAAGTTACAATAACATGTAACTCTTTATAGTAAACATGATATGATAATTCAAAAATTAAAGTAATTAATAATATAGCATATTCATCGGATCACTGATAGTATTAACATTATCAGTTTATATATAACTTAATCATATCCAGTTTAGCAATGTGAAGGCGAATCTTGGAGCAGTAATACTTGCATTATGATAGGTTGTCTACATCACACCCTTTTGAGTGTGGCCCTTTCTCGAACCCTACATGAGCGTGAGATGTCTTGTGGGTCGAGCTGGCCTTTTCTCATATTCAATTTAGCAATATATTTTGAACTTACGGGCAATTACTTGTCTACTCATGTCCCAGGACCGCAAGCCCAAATGGGCGGTGGGCCTAAACGGTCCTAACCGGATAGGACCGGGATCGTGGGGAGGTGGGCTGGGTAGTGAGCCGGTCCCATAGACGAGGTCCGTGAGATGGGGACCGGTTGAGAAGTGGGCCGGTTCAAGCGGTCCTAAACGGGCCTATCCGGGCCCAACGGCTAATGTTTTTTAAAAACAAAATCTGCCACATTATAGCCGTTATGGCATTTAAAATATGGCCGTTTTACCTGCCAAAATAGTCGTTGGCTATTTATAAAATAGCCTTTTAACCCCCCATCCCCCTCCCCCCAACTTTGTTTTAACCTCAATTTTTTTATAATTACACTTTTCCCTATTTTCAACTATAAATACCCCCTCATTCTTTCATTTTTCTCATAAAATCATCAATGGTTACTGTTATGTGCTTAGCCTATAGTTTTCCTTCTAACCCTCACTTTGTGCATTATATTAGAAAAGTTTATAATCTTACTTATAAAGGTTTTCCTCTCACAACCGTAAAAAGCGATATTTATAAATATAAACATGAATATGAACAATATTTGCGCTATTTATTTACTCATATAAATTGTCTTGTTGCTATTACAACTGATATTGGTAGAAGTGGTAATGACTTTGATTACCTTACTGTTACCAGTCATTGGATTGATGAGGATTGGATAATGCAAAAGCGCATTATTGCTTATAGAATAATTAATTCACGTCACACAGGGCAATTTATTTCTAGCACGGTTACGGATATTTGTAGATATTTTTGCATTAGTGATAAAATAATGTCAGTTTCAATGGATAATGCTACTAGTAACACAAATGTTGTAGCCTTGCTTACCACTACACCAAGTCCTGCATTTAGTAACATTTTTCATGTTAGATGTATTTGTCATATTTACCATTTAATCGTGGGTGATGGTATGCGAATTTTAAATGTTGAAATTGAAAAGGTTAAAATGGTTCTTAATTGACTTTTTTATTCAAACCGCAGAAGTAGACTTAGAGAATATTTTAAAAGATGCAATGAATTTGGCCTAAGAGAAAGAAAGGTTTCTAAACCTTGTCCAACTATATGGAATTACATGTATGAAAGTTTAGTTGTTGCATATGAATATAGAAACCCCATAAACTCAACGTTTAATGCTCATGTAAGTGATGATGATGAGCACCTTACAAATGCGGATTGGGCTAATGTTAAAATGCTTGTAGATTTTTTAGAAAAATTTTATATTGCTACAAATGAATTTTCTGGGCAATATTATCCTACTATTTCTAACTGTTTAGTTTATATTGCAGAACTTGCAAATTTGTTTGATCATTTTTCAGTGGGTGAGGAAATTTATCAACTTGCTATTGATTCTATGAGAAAAAAGTTTAAATTTTTTTTTTTCTATTCTCCCTATTTATGGTGTTGCTGCATTGTTAAATCCTCCTATGAAATTAGGAGGTCCTCAATTTTGGTATGAAACTGTTTATAATGGTTTAGCACTTGAAGANCATCTATGAGGGAGAGCTTGGAAAAATTAGTACTTTTCAGAGATTGGATCCCTTCGGAAAGAAGAAATTTTAGACTTGCTGAATCACAACCAGAGGTAGACGAAGCTTACGAAGAAATGCTAGTTAAACTTGCGGAGGGTGTTGCTTCGCCCAGAAGCGGTGATGACCAAGCTTCTTTTCCGCCACCACCAACAGAAATTCCTCCGAACCTTGAAGGATTTATGAAATTTGTAAGAGATACCATGTAACTTATATGAACAAAAATTAATATGTAACTTGTATTTTGGCACATCTTGATTAGTTTCTTTTTCTTCTCAATGGTGGTATTAGCACATTGTTGTGCTCATTCCATAGGGGTAGGAAGACTAAGAAAGATATTGTCATATTTTTTTAATGCTATAATAAAATTATAACGCATTGCTTTGAATATCTCTTTAAAATATTTTTGTCTTTAAATTTGAATTAAAAAATTTAGGTCACAATTCTATAATATAAATTACAAGGAATTGACTTAGATATTGTTATTACCATTTTTTTTCTTCTAACTTCTATATATAAAAAAATTAAAAAATAAAAAGTATCCATTGGGCTCGCTTAGGCCCATTTGGGTCCACTTAGGCTCGGGACCGACCCACTTAATCCGGGACCGTTAATTCGTAGTCCCGGTCCCGAGCGGTTTCAACAAGAAGCCCGCGAAGTCCGGGACAACTTAGGACCGACCCACTTAGGACCGAGTCCACGAAACCTACTTAGGATCGGGTCCGGCCCACATACCACCCACAATCTACAAGTAAAAGAAGTGGATAATGAATAGTACATCTCCTGGGCTTTTCTCAAAAAGATGAATGTGATGTCATGTGAGAAACAGATAATGTGTGGAAATAAAATTGGAAGCAAAGATATGTGGTTTGTGGAGATCAAGTGCAAGTAGCATATATAGTGCTGTGGGAATTTTGCTGGCGGAGACGAGGCACATGGCTTGACAGCTCTCTCGAACTGAGGAACTCATGGCGACCACTAGATTTTGGTTTATTTTCAGCATCATAAATTACAACAACTAAAATAAATAAATAAAAAATAAATAAGAAAGTATTGACAACTTAAGTTTTGAATTAAACGGTTTACACAATTTTGAATTTAAAGTTGAAAACAATTTAAGTTTTAGTTGAAAAATAATACTTATTATTTGAAGTTAAAGTTGAAAAAAGGTTTCGTGAAAGCTCAATGTGTGTTCTGGAAATTATACTCCTAGCTTTGTTAGAAATTTTTTTGTGAAAAGTTAGACTTGTCTAGTAGAAGCTGAAGATTTGGAAATAAGATGAATTTCTCTTGTTTTCACTGCTTCTCTTTTCATTTTTCTTGAGATGAAAGTCTATACACACTACCATCTTCAGACCATACTTATGAAATTATACTGAATTTGTTTTTGTTATTGTTTTATGAAGTTCTATCGTTTAGACTCGAAAAGAAAAAGCAAAAATTTAGTGGGACGCAAAATGGAAATTTTCTGTGATGCTAATTTCTCTAATCTTTT